CCCTCAGAAAAACTGCCATAGACATCAGAAAGGTCAGTCATGAGGCTACGTTCCCACATCATCGAGAGCGAGTTGGGGCGTTGGTGCATCGGCGCCAATCGCTCAACCTACCATATAGGGGTTACTAAGGGAAGTTACACAATAACCCCCAAATATGGTTGATAATTGGGAGGGAATGGACAGGAAAAGCTTCTTTTCCCCACTAATAGCCGATGCACCAGTCCTACCTAATAGCATCAGAAAACTCTAAGAAGCATAAAAGATGCCTAAAGGTATGAGGGGTTTTAACGATACCATAAAAGAAACTCAACACGCAAAGTTATACTGAAAAGGTATTTAGCATAAAGAAACCAAAATGAGGAAGGGAGGGCTGGGAAAATACGATGAAACAGCCTAGTTGTATTGTGGCTTTACCAAGCAAGATGAGACCCACGCTATGCCAAAATCTTAAATACCCCTAGATTAACCAGGGGAATGAAAACGCCACGAAACACACATCTTACCCTAGTTATACAAATCAAATTTACAGGAGGCCGAAAGACTCCCTGCATTGCTCATAAACTAATAGAGCAGATACAAGCAAAATGCGAGGAAGCGTGGCACAAGAAAACATAACAAAATAGTAATAAAAACAATCTCATGCAAATTAGTTAACGCTCAAAAGCCCCTCGTGAAATTAACTCTGATTAAATTTCATTTAATCATCATTAAAACAAACAAAAGGACTGATGATAACAATAGTGGTGATGGGATGATGCAATACCACGGAATGTTGATGGAAAGGTGACAAACACAAGGTTGCCAGATTGGCTTTTTCAGGGCAAATTTTTCCAATTTTGGCCCTTTTCAGAGTAAAGTTGCCTGGAAAAATTGTTTTTCGTCTACTGCTTAAATCTGGCATTTTTTGGCCTATCTAAACGTTATGAGGTCATTCCTTTGTTTGGTATCAACTTTAACACCCTAAGTAGCAAATGAATTATGACTCGAAAGAGCACAACTGCACGGTGTAAACTCAAATGTCAAATATTATCAGATAACCTCACGATGAGCAAAGGAATTGGTTTGAAGGAGAAAGTTTATCAGTTTCTTGCTTGGGCTTGGAAATTATCTAAAAGGCTCATGCATGGGAATAAATACTTCACTTTGCGCGATGTATTTTTTTGGAATTTTTTTTAAAATGGCTTTTTTATATGCAATTTAGCCAGAGGTTGTCATTTGTCTGGCCTTCTTTTGTAAATCCCATCTGGCAACCCTGGACAAACAACGGAGCTAATAAGAACATCACAAGACTGTTCTTTTGATGTTCTTATAAGTTCCGTTGTTGAACATCACGCAACTAAATAAAACATAAAACTAGTTGCATAACAATACACTAGAGGTGTAAAACATTTATTGATCAATGAAACATTTGCCTTTCCTACAAGCAAATGATCGATAATATTACCAGTGTCATGAACGTACAGTAATTGTACCTTAAAAAGCAATGCCCCTTTACTAACCACGTTATGATGCACGTCCAATGTCTTGTATTCAATGCTCGTGAATTATCCCGTTTATTTTAATCTCAGCATCTTAATCTCTTCACATTTTTTGCTAATAGTACAGCGTTGATCTCCTAGGCAATCTAATGATATCTAAAATGCCAAACGAAAAACAGTTTTATAGCTATCCCAGCAATCAATTGACGTCAAATTATAAAAATTAATTAACATCGAGAATGTGACATCATAATCATAAACTTTCACTTGCGTGGAAAAGAGGTTCAACAATGTTAAAAATATCTTACATAACAACAAGAGAAGCATTGCCGTAGTGAGATGATTTCTAGGCTAGAAAAGAAAAATATACTTTCGAGAGCAATATCCGACTTATTTTATATATTTATACGTACCCACTTATTGGTCGAAATGTTCGTTTTTGTACACAATTTGCTATTTTATAAAGGGATTTTAACCAAAACACGCTTCAAGAAAAAGTCAAATAAAAAGAAAATCAAAAGAAAAATCTCGAGAATCAGAAGGAAATCTACATCTCCTGAAACTGGAACTATTGTACTGCTGTTCGCTAAGAAGAAAAGCTAAAACGTTAAAAATACATAAGACTGAATGAAAGGATGAAAATAGGTAATAATTTATATTGTTTGACATGTAGTGCTGAGACGTTGGAAATAGGGTTGCACTGAATGCTTCCTGACATAAAAGGTTGAAACTTCGGAGATTGAGATAGAAGATGCAGAATGAGAATTTGGGCTGGACTGTGTCGGGATTCGTATGCATTTTAGAATGATGGCCAACATAGTAAGCTGCAACGATATTACCAAGGTGGAAACAATTACTGCGTGTCATTGAAATCTTAAAGTTAAATATAGGGTAATATTGAACAGTGAAATCATGTATATAGCCGATAAACTACCAAAAAGACATATCTTGAATACTTCGTGATGCAAAAAGATGAAGAAGGACGAATACGTTTATACTTAACACTGGATGTTCTACAAGACTGAAACGATGAAGATAGGGCATATTGGGGGCTATACAAATAGGGTACTATCGAATAGTGCATGAAACATAAGGCAAAGTTTTCAATTGAATACCGCCTAACATATAAACTGAAAAATTACAAAAAAGGGATATTTCGAATACTGCATGACAAAAAAGGAATAACAAGACACAAAGTTTTCAATTGAATACTGCCTGACAGACAAAATTGAAACATTACAAATACGGTTTTTCGATGCTCGCAAAATTTTATCAATTTTTATGCAGTTACTGTTACTGCTGCCTTTACATCAACACATAAAGACTTTGAAAAGTGCTTGTTTTCTGCATTAACAAGGGGTAGATTCCCTTAAGTTAAGTTTTTTTGCGGACAGAGAGAAAGTGCAATCTTGCATTTCTTGCGTCTGAAAGGAAGATTTTGATGGAAGACATAGCAATTGAAAGTTTTTTAGATGTATAGAAATTAAGATGAAGAAAATCATTTCATTGCTGAAGACACCTTTTTTGCTTCATCTTTCCACTAACTCTACCAACTCCCCCTTCCCTCCCCCAACACCCCTTAGAATTGAAGTTTGCCTTCATTGGACACTAAGAGTTTGCCACCCCTACTCAACTGACCTGCCTACGGGCTTGATTATGCTCTGTAGGTAAGTATGTATTTCCCAGCGAACTGAAATCACTCGTATTTGAAAATTTTCTCACCCTTCTGCTGCAACCATGGTGCAGCCTCGGGTAGTAAGTAAATCGAGAGGTTTTTTTATGATCAATTAAGGACGCATACTTATCAATGAAAAAATTCTGATTTTTCATGTACATAGTACTAAATGTATTTGTTCGACTCATTAATAGAATTTTTGTAGCTACAAAGGCAGATTTTTTCAGCTTTCATTTAATTTTTCAATAATTCATAAAATTTCTTGTATCTCAGATTTTACATATAAAATGCTCGAACTTTCACATTTGTTGAAAGTTAGGCCCTAACTACGGTTGGGTCCGGGGACCCTACAAATGCTAGTGCGGCCCTGATTGAGAGAGAAAAAAACACGAAAATTGCCTCAGTCTAACTGAGTGTTAGTCTGTCAATGATTGAGTCTGCCAATGAGTGACTTTTAGGAAATTTATGTTTTATCACGTGTGATTTTTCGACAGGAAACAATATGGTTCAACTTCATGGTTTATTAACGTATGATTCATAAACTTTGGAACTGTAGGGCATGTCCCATAGTTTTTAGAAACGGAGGTAAGCTCCCTATTTGCAGCTAAGGGATTTTATAACCCAATGTATTAGTCTTACCCATATATAGATAAGGTTTAATTGAATGGAGCGTTATGGATAAAGACCGAACATTTTGGTCATTATTAAACGCTGCATGTCATAAAGGACTTATAAAGCATGACATCGTAAAACTGAGGGACGTATAGGGATAAAACGTGAGATTTATAACTAAAATGGAATACTTCCCGAAAACTATGAATTATTTTTAATCTGCAAAAGCAAAAAAGATGCTATAATGTATGAAAAAGCAATTCCTCTTTACGCACCTTGATATGATCTGCATTCAGGGTCTTTTATAATCAATACTAGCGAATATTTTACATTCAATCGCAAACTCTGCTTTTTAATCGATACACATCTTTTTTTGCAAAGTAAAAACCATCTGTCTTCTGATAATTGAAACGCCAACTGTTTTTTAATCTTTCCGGCAATCGAATGACGTCAAATTAGAAACGTTAGCTTGAAACGAGAATACTGCTTCTAAGCGGCCTTTGCGCCAAAGAGAGGTTGGATTGAATTGAATCATAGTAAGATGCAACAGCAGAAAATGAAATGCCACAATGACACTTTTCCTGACTGTAAAATTACAAAATATTTCATTCCGGAATCATTAAGAGCAATTCTATACAGAGTAAATTGAGATTTGTATACTTTTCTACAGTTTTCCTCAGTGGAAAATCTAGCTTTAAAAATCTGGAGGCCTAGTTGGCGGCCAGCTTTCAGTTAGAGGCGTATTTTCCCTACGCGAAAAGGGTTTTCAACAGGATGCAAAGAAACTTGGTTTGGGCTTGCACTGCGCATCTCAACCCAAGAAGCGGTATCTTGTGATAATATGTAACAAATATAGAATCAAAAAAAGAAATGGTTGTCAAGAATAAAATTTTTCTAGAAACTTCAGGAATGAATCAAAACTTTTTCAATGTTCACCTTGATTAGAAATAAAAAATTTTATCAGGGCTCCTAGCTTGTTGAATAAATGAAATAAAGATTGATATGCTAGCAAAAATATCAACCATAGCAAAAATGGCAAAAACAATTGAACACCTATGGAAGAAACATAAAATTATTTATAATAACTTTTGTACAAAACTGGGGGGCCAAGTAAGGGGTCAAAAAAAATTCTGAAGGGGACATGACCCCCAAGCCCCCTGTAGAAATGCCAATGTTTTTCCTTCATAATAGTTTTAGATTTCTCCCCCACCCACAACCCTGAGCAATTATCTCCCAAATCGAGGCTAGAAAAAACAGCTGGCAATCCACCATTCAAAATGGCGACTGTTGGTGAAATGTTTCTGATTGATTCTCTCGATCAAAACCCGTAAAATGCAAGGGAAAAGGCAACAGCGAACTCCGTTAGAACCTTTTAGATTTATTACATTCCTGATTCTGTATGTCATTTCATTTTTTGATGCTACCAATGGGGCTGGATCAGTCACTGACATCACGTCCAGTGTTGGCCTAGCAAATGTCGATGGAGTCGTTGCTGTTTTCTGCGACTTTGATTCAGACAGAGATACCGATATATTGGTGATCACAACTTCAGGTATATATTGTGATATTTCCTTTTTATCAACTATCTACTAGTTAAATTTTCAATGAATAAAATGCTTATTATCGAGAAAAAATTATTAAAATAAACGACTATTTTGTACAAAAAAATGTTAAACATAACTTATCATTTAACGTCATCATTTAATTATATTAATTTTTGTTCATAATTCTTCGACATACAACACGCTAAACCACTTTTATTTATTATTATTGAAGTCCAGATGTTTTAGGCCTTCTTACACTGTTGCTTTCAGATATTGAAACTAGCAATAAATCCATTAAAATCTTATATATTTTGGGTTTCCGTGTGATCTTGGAAGCTCACCAACCGTCCAGAATTGCATACTGATTTTTGCATTAAAAATACTGTGAAGCCTTCTTTAGGTCAGACCTTCACGAGGCAGGGGCAAGGAAATGATCTGACTTAGGGAATGTCTTATAAGTGGAGACAAATGCAAACTTATGATGGTTTCAGCAAAACCGAATAATGTTGAAAAATGTAGCATATGTATTTTTGTTGCGTTGTTAAATTCAGTTATTGTTGTTAATATATTTAGTTAGTTTTTATTAGCTTTAGTTTAGCTAGTAGTATACGTTTACCAACTCAAAAGAAAGTGAACAAAAAAAACTTAAATGAGTTAGGAAAATCTAATTGGAATTGACAATGTGGCTGACTTAGTAAAAATGTGTGAGATTGATCCCGTGTTTTGATCAACCTATACTCAGAACTTTGTTTCTTGCACAGTAAAGGTAATTTGAAAGTATGGAACTGGGCAGTTAAAATCAGGCACATTCAGGACTGGTAATTTTCTAACACTTCATTGGAAACTTTGGCCCATGTCATTTAATCAGGACCCATAATTCAATAAAATGAGCCTAACCTGATTGATACCGATATTGTCAAATGTCATCTCCTCCGTGTTTATAGGCAGTGCAGGGGACTTTTTATACAAAAATGCGCTTGCATTACCTATTACCAAATCCAAATAATTTTGTTTGACCAATAAGCTAAAGCACGTGGATAAGAAATTTTTGGGTGTGGACCATATATTGTTAGTGCACAACCAGGGCTGCTGTAAGTGGGGCAAGGGGGGCAAATTGCCCCAGAGCCTTTAGGTCTAGGTTGCCTCATTATGGATCCAATTCCATTTTAAAATGTAATAAAAATTTTGCCTGAAAATAGTAACATATTTTAAACAATGCACAAAAATGACTGCAAGAAATATTCTGAAATATTGATATTCTAAAAAGGGTGTGGTTGCAAATATTTCCTGCTCCCTCTGCTTGCAGGAGGCCTGGTCTTTCTGATTTGCCAATGGCCTCCAAAACCTCTCCTCCCAGGCTTAACTGGATGCAACTGAATCAAGTTGGAAACTTTGTTTCCAGCCCATAGAGTAAATTGGTATGGAAAAATTTGCACACACAAAATAGCACAAATTTGTTCTACCTGATTTTTGAAACATCAAAGTTTTATATCTGCTTACAGCCACGTTGCTCCAGCCCCCCCCCCCCACACACACACACAGGCAAACCCTAATCATAATGAATTAATGAAATTATACTAGAAGAGAACAGTGGGCAGAAAAGCCAGATTTTTTTGTTAGCTTATAACTAGTTTTGCATTGTTAATTTCTCTATTGACTGAAGACCTCAAAATTTCAAAGCCTTATAAGTGTTTAGAATAAAAAATAGGTAACTGTCTTTAAAAAACTGTCTATGAAATAATGTTTTAATCAGAATGTTTCTGTGAATGCCAATTTCATATTTTTAAATTTTTCTTGAAAACTTCTTCTTTCTATTTAGGGAAGAAGCTAGACATTTACTTATGGAGTGCATCACAACTAAAATTTGAAAAGTCAAATAAAGGTCTGAAATTCAGGTAATCCTACACCAGAGTTTCTGGTTACTATTCAAAACTTTTGGACATTGATTTTCTTGTAATTTTGAACATGGTTTTTATGTATTCTAGCATCTTCTTATCTTTGTAATTTGTAATGTTGTTCGTTTTTCATTTGACAACAAATGTTAACAAATTATGGTATTACCTGCTAAAATTAGCAATGGAATAGGATTATGCATGAAGGAACAACAGATAGCGTAAAGTAGATAGTGTAAGAATGTAAATTGTTACATGACAAGTACAAAATTGATATTACAAACAAACTCATTTTTTATATGAAAGATGCTATAAGAAACAAGTTCTGGGCCATTGGAAAAAATTTAAACTTACTTTCTTGAAGGGAAAACAGAAATAGTCTGTTTTCGCTTTGGACTCTTAACTAGGCTAGAGATAAGCTGTTGCGATTGGTCAGTAACATAAAACCAATCAGTCACATTTTCCGATCTCTCAGGTTACTTTTGAACCGCTTAGAAAATTTCTGCTTACTTTCTGACATTATCCGATGTTTATACTTTCAGTGGTGACGGAAAAAACAGCTTCAGTATGATATGTTTCAACTCTTGTGTGCTATTTTCAGATTTAGAAATTCTTAAGAAAGAATGAGTATTGAGATTTCCTAACCGTTAAGAAATTGGAGTACTCAATGTTGACCTTTAGATAATTTCTTTTATAGAAAAAATATATTTCAGTTATATTACATTGGCTTTTTAACTCAAATCAACTTAATATTATGTTACTCTTTAAATAATATTTTATTGCTCTTTATTTTTGAAGAAAAATGTGTTTTGTTGGATCCTACTCAATAAATCTGTGCTCCTACACAAGGCTTTTCCATTTTGCATAAAAACTAGATATCTTTTTTATCATTTTAAGGAGTAATAATGCATACAAAATTGTTTTCTTAAGATAAAGAATGTTTACAAGTATGTTTACAAGTAGAATGTTTACAAGGTTGCATATTCTTTGACTTTTATATTCTCAAATATAGATGAATAAACAGCAAATTCTGCAAGGGCTAAATAATCCAGGCAATCAAACCACCAGGGGTCTTTTGTAGCCCACACATGTTTTTCCCAGAGAGGCCTGCAGTTCTCCTGGCCCTTGATTTGAAGTTTAAAATGTGTTCCCATTTATCCCTTCTTGATATTTGTATGATAAGACTTCTTATAATATTTTAGTGATGGTACACTGATTGTTGGCGCAGCACATTCAGATTTTGATGGAGATGGTTGCCCAGATATCCTCCTTTTAACCAAAAATGATACCAAATCAAAATTGTTCCAAAAAGATATTTTTGCATTCATCTACTGGAATGTCGGAGAAGGTCTTTCTGAAAAGTACAGTATGTTTATTGCTCACTTTTTTATGTCATCATTTTCTAAAATTTAATTTTGTATTTCTAGTAAGATATCAATTTTGTAATATCTTATGCAAACTTACCTCTATTGATAAATGTTTAATCTTTGTAGGGACATTCATTGGAAGAATGAACGATCAGCCATTAATTATGGAGTAAGTTCTTGATTTTATTTTGATCAACAAATAGAAATGAAATAAAATTTGAATACTTTGTTATGCTCAGTCTTTGTAATATGAAAATAGGCCGCGTGCGGCATTTCGCACGCCTTGGTTACTTTGCGCGTGCGATGGCGTGCGATGCGAACCGCTTTTTATCGGTTTTTTCTCATCCCTGTTGTCAAGAACTGGGTGCTGCTTTTAAGGAGACCTTTTGTGTTATAAACTGAACGGAAACCAAGGTAATTGACAGAGAAACTGTTCTTGTTCTTTTTTAAAGATGTTAAATTTAATTAGTCACTTAAAGAAATCTGGATTGAAAAAAAATTATATTACCCGTAGACCCTACTCAAATTCTATTACCTGTGAATATCTTAGCGGATATTCATAAAAAATATCTTACCGTTAGATCGGTATTCCTTTGGAATTGAGCTAACAATCAAATGAGAAGGTAGAGAAATGACACAAACGTCGAAATGAACACACTTTTTTGGGCACAAAAACAAGTTTAAAATAATTTGAAAATAAGTACAGTCACCGTCACTTTTCTTCATCAGAGCTTTCTTCAGCTTCCTCCTCCTTATCTAGCTTTGGTTCCTTCGATAAACTGTTGCACTTACCCAGCTTTCGCTTTCTGCATTTCGAAAGATAGATCTCCGTTGCCCTTTTCAAAATATTATCCCTTTCTTTGTCAGTCCATATATTGTCATTGACTGCGATGCGAAGTCTCATCTCCATAACCCTGTGTGACATTCTCTCTACCGATGAATTGGAGCCAGATATTGCAACCATTATCTTTGCCAGTTTAAAATGCACAGGTTGGGGTACTCGTCTGCCCTTTACCGCTCCTGTAAGAAAGCGTATTTTTCCACAGCTTTCTTCTCAATCCCACAGCTTATATTTACGTATTTTTGAAATGACTTCCATTTCCTTGAAAGCTTGAAAAGGGGGGGGGGTTTTTGAAAATAGCTGCAAAAGCAATGATCTCTGGACCGCCGTAATCCTTGTTGTTCATTGCTGTTCGATCAAACATAACTTCATCCCGACTTAGAACAGATGCCACAGCAATGGAAGTCTGCAAACTTCTTTTCTCCGATTGAAACCATGAAATTTCGTTCTTTCCTCAACTCAGATGAATGTGTGCCAGCTCCACTTTTTTTTTTTCGCCATGATTACCTGAAGAACAGAATAATGTCAATCGACAATGTGAAAACATCTCTGGATCGAGAAATTAAATTGCCGGGTTTGACGTAGAGCACCAGTTTGATTGCAGGATTTAATCCCATTGGGTCAACTGTTTAAGCGATCTTTTTGACGCTGTTGTTAAATCCAATTTATTGGAATAATTTACAACACCTTGGACAACGGACAGAACCGAGCTTTGGATTTGAGTTAGGCAATTTTAATATAACAATTTTGTGCAATCTATTTTTTTTGCGCGTTGCGATGATTAGCACGCCTTGGACAATTTGCGCGTGTGTGGAGGCATGCGCGTGCGCGATCGGCACGCCTCATTTACAAAGACTGTATGCTTTTTATTTTTCAATGGTTATTTTAGTCAAATGGAACTATTTTCTTATTTAGGTAGTACAGAGCTTGAAAAATCCTCAGTTTTCTTGCCCTTAGAATGATTATTGAACAGTATTTCCGGATTACCAACTCTTTTTTCAGTCAATGAGAGGAATCTCTGTCATGACTTGTGGTATGATGAATCAACTGGGTACATTATAACCTTGGGTTCTCAGCTAAACACAAGGTGTTCCCACTGAATATGACCCCAATATTGATGCTCCTAAACTAGACATTTGTTATTTTGCTAAAAGTACCTTGCTAGACTCTCATGACCTTGAATGTGAGTGCGGATGCGAGTTGTACAGTTAAGTCCATAAAGACCTTCAGATAAGTTACCATGTTATGGGGTTATCAAGAACTGCCACAAAGCAACCTGTCCAAGTCTTCTGTGCATTTAATGGAATAAACTAGAGTTCTTCAGATTTTTTTAATTTTTTTCTTTGTCTTCCTTGTTCTTGTCCTTGACATTTGTGGACAAATGACAAGATGTAGTTTTGCCCATTGAAAGCATTACACTGCCTTACTAATGAAGAAGCATGGAAACTACCTTTAACAAAAAATTTTTCTTAGAAATAAATCTTTGGGTTACGTCATGGACTTCAGTTTTCTTATTTGGCTTTTTACTATAGAAATATTTTCAGACTGAAAGCTTTTTGCAACATAAAACAGTTCAGCCGCATTTCCAGTAACCCGTTTGCATTGTATGTAGGATTTAAATGGCGGATTAATCCAGGATACAATACTACATTGACTTGTGTTTTTATGGTATGGGGGGGGGGGGTAGAAAGGCAGTGAAGAGATTGAGCATATGAGCGGTTGTAAATTGTGGAGCGGTCCCTTTAAAAATAAGCAACGGCTCCTTAATATCTCAAATCTAAAGTAACAAACTGCTTAGAATTACGGTACAAAGACCCCTTGGTTGAAAGGCCGTCCAATTTCATCAAAAATTCTAACGGCATATTGTTTATGTTGTGTTTATATACGATCTCTATGCAATAAGGAATTGATTTTTTATTATTCCCAACAGGCTGTATTTGCGATTTCTTCTGATCTGTCTATTTTCAAATCGAATTGATTTTTTTCATTAAGAGAGCCATTTGACGCCCTGACAAAAAGAAAACTTTTAGTCGTTTGCATTACGACAACACAAAGTACGTAACAGAGGCCGGAACAGATAAAATAAGCATGGTTTGCTAATGAAAATAAAATCTCTGTTTAGATATCGAGTTTTTTTAGGACATTAATTTTACTTTGTTTTTCCTATCCTAGATTCTGTTTCTTCCAATATGTTTAACTAGAAATAGAATGTCTACAGAGGTGGCAAACATCGGTAAATACATGTGTATTTTTTTGATATTTGCTCTCATGCTATTGTACAAATCGGGGGTGTAAAATGCTGAAAATTTGTGCTTATTTTCTTATTGTTTTTCGAATGAAATTTAAAATAGTTGTTTATCGAAGTTACTGTCATCTTTCAACCGAAAGGCTGGGTCATTTAAAGAAATGCCTAAATCGATGTGAGCCCGAGAACCACGAAATGAAGAACAAAAATTTGGACAACGCATCATTTGGCGACATGGGTAAGTGAGACTGTATCTAATTGATATCCTTTAAATCTGAAATTAAAGTGAGTACAAGACGCTAGTAATGGTCAGCTAAAGATATTTTGAAAAATGTCCTCAAATTTCATCATTACACCAATGAGAATCGTGTAGAATTCATGCTAGTTATTTGTTGAATTAAAGTGAGTACAACATTTATTTGTAATTCTGTTATGTGCTTTGAGATGATAAATCACTAATTAGCATTGAAAGCTATATTTTGAGTATCCGTATATCGATTGCATGAGGAAATGCTATTTCCAAATAAGCCTTTGGTATATCTTAAAATTTGAAAATAGCGTGAAAAAGAAGAAACATTGCATACTTGGTACGTCCCGCATGACAATTCTTAACTTCAGTCATTATCCAACATTGATACTCAGCGCGCTTAAGTATGTTTTCGCTGTACATGCTATTCAAGAAATGATATGTAGTTGTCAGGCACAAATTCAGATAAGTGAAATTATACTTTCAAGACTTGTGACATTTCAGATGCCGATGGACAAGTTGATTTGGTTCTGCCTGGCTGCGATGAGCCAACTTGCACCGTACCGGTTATATATATGCATAGCAAAAATACTGTAAGTATTCTATCTATCCAACCTCTGATCAAAACAATTGTAGCTTTGGCGCTCCAAAGTTCTATTTCATCTCTTTTAATTACCCGTACTATCTTTCCTCTTGTATTCGCCAGAATTATTAAGAAACTCAAATGATTCAGCATAAATGGCTTGAAAATCTCATAGATTAATGCTTTAGGCTGACGCTTAACCTAATATTATGTTGATATAATATTGAGCACTTTGGGCTAACTAACGATTTGTTTTTCAGTGGCTAAAACTCCTGGCTGCAAGCGATGCAGAACACGCCACATGGCGGTTTCCAGATGGCGATTTTCGGTCAACAGATCTGCTTAATTTCCCACCAGTTTTGAGACTTGGTAAGTTTCTATACTTGGCAGATTGTCGTTTGACAAACAACTATATTTTTTGTATAAGTTTTGAGGAAACATAACTTTCTGTTTATTTCTACATTCATTTTGATGTTTTTGTATATATATTTATCTAGTTTGCGTATGTATATTATAAAAATGATAGAATGATATATCTCAAGTATACATTTATCACAGAAAGGGGTTTTTTCAAAGTTTACTCTACAACTTTTTTTCGTTCTATGCCAAAAACCGATTGTCTTTAATGTTTTAACGAATCTCTTGAAATACCAGGTGATTTCACAATGGATGGATACCCCGATGCTGTGGCGGTGTTTGAAGGCAAAGGGTTGGTAGCTTTTTCTAACATTCTTTCTTCCAAAGAGGCAAAATACTTTATTCTTAGCAAACGTGCTTTTCTCTCCTGATAATTCTGTTTTCTTTTTTTACTGTCTTGACTGCCATTCGCAGTTCTATTTATCATTTAGTACATTAATAAGGTAGTGATTTGCTTTTAAATTTAGGTTATTTAGTCAACAGATTTCATTGTATGAATCATTGCACTCAATACTGCGCATATTGCACAGATATTAATTCATTGCACTCTCATACTGCACATCGGATCTTAGTTCATATTCAAATATGGATTTCTCGCAATTGCTTTTTCTTTAACAGGTCAAAGCGAATGGCATTTTTGCTTGAAAACGTACCTTGTAGCAATGGTGACACATCCTGCTTTGGGTCACGTGCATTAGCTTTTAAAACAAAGGTTTGTTATACAATGGCTGAAATTTGCATTCTGTCTGAGCTGTGTGCAAATGTTCTTTGAGTTGTTTTGACGACGCACAAAACGACTGAGTGGCCTTCTGCAGTCTTAACAGTACTTTTTGTCTTCAATCTTTGTTTAATGCTGTGAAACCGCTTTGATAGTCGATCCTTTATCGCATCATTCGGTCAAAAATTTGCAGTAACGTGAACTCTCTGTCATATCACTAAAAGCGATGTAATTATTTTCCGAATAATCTTTTCTTTTTTGATGTCAAAAATGTCAAGATTTCGAAGCTTTATTTCACAATAGTAGAAAAAGAACGATAACATTTTATCTCTCTAAATTTTTCGTTGTTGCGGCATAATTCTAACAGTGATAATTCGATAAGGCCCCCTTTTGAAAATAGGCCCCATCTCTAGCAATGTGTTTTGATTGAGGTCCCCCTCGAATAAGTCCCGCTTTTATGCTGTTATAATGTTTTTGCACTAAAGCGCCTAATGTGCAGTTTTATGTAATTCAAGCCAGCGTTTATTTGAATCATTAAGATGAGGGAAATGCGTTATGGTCTGTGTCAGAATCTGCTCCCGTGCAACTCATAAAAAATTGTTTCCTCTTGACATATTTCCTTTATTATCACTATCTCCGCATATCCCTATTTTCGAAATTCCTGTTACAGATCGACGACGATGCTGCCATGATATCATTCTTTGATGTTTATGAAAATGTGAGTTCGTCTACTGAAATTACTTGAACTTGTGTTTTTATTCTATGCGTATTCCTTCTGTAAATGATGTTTAGATTGCACTTTAAGTCAGTTCAAACAGCTTAGATGGCATCTTTTAATCGATGCTTTGTCAATTCCATAGCAAAATATCTATTTGTAACCATCTTGGTCTTGTCCTTAATAGTTTTAACTTTTTAATCAAAGGGCATTCTAGACTTTCTTGTGGTTGTTAAGAAGGAAGATCAAGAAGGATATGCCGTTAAGGCCTACAGAAACGACTTCAATACCGACACAACTTTTCTGAAAATTACAGGTATGCAAAGTGCCAAAATTCTCATTTAATTTCAATTTTAAACTTTGTGATGTTCAGTCTACGGATGGATAAGTGAGAGGGTATGCCGTTGCTTATGGGCTAGCGAGCGTAGGTACGGAATATCATGCACGCGCCTATGTATGCAGTCGCTTATTTGGTTTACGGCGAGGAATCAAGCCCGACAGGTAAAAAGTGAGGGGAGGCTTTTCTACAACGTTCATCTTTTTTACAATTATAGAAGGATCTGTATGTAAATTTGGTTGGAAATAATGTTTCCAAGAATTCGTTTTCTTTTGACTAAAATTATGTCAAGAAAGTTTTCAAAGAAAGTTTTGTGCGATTAAATATTAACGGAAACCTGTCCGTGAACTTCTAAAGTGCTTAAATCATAATCATTTTGCTTCATTTTTTTGTTTTAGTTAGCTGTTAGTTCCGTGTAAATGAAAACTTTCTTATTTACTGTTGTGTGATTTTAGCTCAAAGGGGTGGCAATAGATTTCTATATAACCAAATTTGCTATCATTGTTTTAACTAAGTAAGCAGAATTTTAGTGCCTATAGCCTCATTTTAATACCGGGTTTAATACCTACCCCCCGCCATATCAGTGAGCAAATAGGAGAATGAGCGAATTGGAACTATCTGTTATGGATGTCTGTTTGATTTCAGTTTTGAGCGGAAGATGTTACAAGACCTGCATCTGCAAGAAAATTGAAACGGTATTTGCAATTTAATTATTCAATGTTGTCTAAGATACAATATATGCCTTGCTTTATTGTTCATTTTATTGCAATAACCTTCCCATGATCCTATGGGCAAACTGAAGTAAAAAATCAATAGTCCTAGAAGTATGATTTGATTGTTAGAATTTGGATTCAGCATTTTTCTAAACAACAATAGAGATAAGCAGTGATTTCAATCATTTTGATGTATTCGCGATGGGGTTGATCTTCAAGCCTCCCAAGCTCAAATATTTATCCTTGATATTTTTTGCGCGGATGGCTTAGTTCTTAGCGTCGAGGACTACAGACCAAAAGGTATGTGGTTCGAGTCGCTGAAATTACTAAGCTTACACCCGGAGTGAGGGGAGTCGCAAGCTCTCTGCATTTCCAGGGGGAGGAATAACGAGATGTTGACACATTGAGTAGAAAAAGACTAGGGCACAGGTCGATACGCGTAGTTTCTTAGTGTCCTGAAATCTACCGGGGGAAGCTAGGTAGCATCATATGCGAATGTTTCTTGAAATTCTTCCCAAACTGAACATTTATTAAATATACACAGTTTTGAGCATTTCGTTTGTAAAGCATAATTATTTTCAAGTTTTTCCCGTTTTACTTTGATACTAGAATTTGATCAATTCAAGGCTACTATGATTTGGTTTAGTCGTTAAATGTTATTTTTTTACAATCCTTACACACTTGTTGGCTTCTTAACAGCCTTACGGAGCTAACCTTGTTGGAGCAGCTGTTTCTTACAAAACTGTTTCACCGGAAGGAAAAATTCAGATCTGTTCAGGTAATTCATAGCTACAACTGTCTTGCTTTGATGAATTGCTTATTCGTTTGTTTTATTGTTTTTGAGAGTACATAAAGCTCCTTTGTGCAATTGACAGATATCTCTTAACAATATAATTACTTCTCAATTATCTTCTACAGCTACTCAGCTGTCACAGTCAGCTCATTTTGCCTTGCAACTGCCCTACACTTTGTTTGGACTCGGTCGATCTCCAAACTTCGTTGACAAAGTGCAAGTTGGTATCCCACAAAGTGACGGGAAGGTAATGCGTGAACAGCCAGTTTCAGTTGGTGCTTACCTCTTGCGCAACCGGCATGCTTTGCGACTACAATTCAAAGAACCGGCCTAATATCGAACTGCATGAAAATACAAAACACGGTCCGTTTCTCAAGACAACTGCCGCTAAGCATGCCGGTCGCGCAAGAGTCTTTAATATTGACGCTGTTGATAAGATATTGTTTTTAGATTTTGCAAACGTGAAATGAAACCATTATTGTAAACGATGGAAGCCTGCAGCAAAGTCATATGCCAGACTGTGCAAGGGATTTCTTTTTCGTAAGAATATCCTGTAAGTTTTCACCCAAATTCAAATCAATAAAGCACCCTATACAGGAACCCTCAATTTTTCAGTTTAGCTTAGGCAAGTTCTTATTCCTTGCTTACTAATTGCACTTTAAAGTTGTTCATTTTGTCATTATTTTATAACTTCACTCTGATATCTTCACTGACAGTAAATATTGAAACTTCTCAATCATTTCAAAAAGAACACTGTTGGAAATTTGGGTAAATAAGTTTCTTATAAAAGTGATCTTAAATACTTTTTTTTTTAATCTCAAAACCCTTATGAAACGTTGTTACCGTACAGTCAATTTTCTTCTTACTTTAAATCGTACGTTTAATGATAAGCTTACTTACAAACATATTTTGTTATTCTCAAAAAGCAGTTATCGCTGTAAACTGAATTTCGCTATAAATTTTATCCCTGCTTTAATTCAGGTCAACAGAGTTCACAGCTGGATGTCGCTTATACCAAATTCACAAGTGATTGTAATCCCCTTCCCTCCTGACAAACCTTACGAGTAAGTTACATTCTAGGATGGTAGACTGCATTTATCAGAATTATACTTTGTCGCCATTTCGTTTGTTCATGTAATTTCTTTTTCCAATCTTCCTTAGAATTATTTAGAACTGATTCGTAAGACATTCTTCATTACGCTCACGTATGATATACAAGGTAGTCTGTTTCTGATTTGCCTTGACCGAAGCAAATTCCATCATCGACCGAAAACATAGTGTCTCACTTATTCCCAGTAAGGATCTCAATTCAACCGCTACGGAATCTTCAATTTTGCAGCTAAAGTAATTGACTGCTTAAGCACAATTTAAGGAGATTAGACGCCCTGGTTTCAAAAACGAATTTCCGATAATTTTGTAATTTAATGATATTTATGATAATTCTTATTGTAGCAGTCTGACTTTTTCGAGTTACAATTAGCGCAAGACATTTGTTAAATCATTAAAGCAGTTAGCAAAAAATTATTAACAATTTTTCATAGTTGATGATGCTGATGCTCATACAAGGTCATATCGAGACTTACAGATGCAGATATTTCATTCGAATGGAGCTGTTTGTTGCTAAAAGTATCTTGAATTCTTAGCACAACGAAATTGTTGCCATTGACAACACAAGTTCTTTTTCAGGTGGATGACAAAATTGTTGGTGACTCCCAGCAAATTGCTCCTTCAAACTGGAGGCGTTCTCATCGGCACTTGCGTTTTTGTTGCTGGTCTAATTCTTATGTTGTATATAAAAGAAAAGGTAACAGAAATTGAATTTATAGATCCTGAAGCGAGGGCTCTTGTTTTTGAGCATTTTTTCACTTTCACTTTTTGACCATTGAAACATTTTAGTAATAAAAATAAACTTAGAGCTCTCAAGATTCTTTTTCTTTGTTTAGTTTGATATTTTAGGCAACGCAGTAATATGGGGTTTGAATTGTACGCAGAGCACAGAATATGTGGTTCCACTCAATGCTTTAGCGCTTCAAGGTTTCGGTCTGCAAATGAGGTTTCGACGTATACTTTATTGGATTGATGGCCTAAGGAAACCTCTTCTTATGCTTCCTATTAATATCGTTACTAAGTTTCTTTCTAATCCAGTTTTAATCGCAACTTTTAAACAATTTCTGTAAATTTCCTTGTTTACTTTTTAGCGCGAGGACGAGAAAGAGAAAAGACAAGAAGCTCACAAGTTTCACTTCGATGCTCTTTGATGTAGAAGCCAATTCTCATCTGACTTTGAATAATTTCTATTTCTCTAAATTGTCAATTCCCCCTTTAATGTGGTATTGGAGATTTGTTTCAAACATTTTCAACCGCATAAATATAATGCTACCTATTTATTTTACATTCTAAGACCATAGTAAATCATATTTTTCTCTTTTAAGCTGTTTTTTCTGCGTTTTGACATGGTTTCTCGCCCTTGTGATCCCGAAAGTTTTGCTGTTGTTACAGTAAGTGGTTCTCTACCTAAAAAGGACCCTTTTATAAATTGGTTGACTTTCTGGCCAGGGGGTCTCTCTAAACCTCAAATGGGCGGGTCAGTCCCACCCACTTTTGAAGCCATGTTCTCACTTTTGTGTTTTCGTTCAAACTCTGTTTCCTACTTTTCGATCCCATAGTTTCAATTGATATGTGCGAAAAAGAAATATATCGTAAATGTATTAACGGCAATAAATGTAATTTGATACGTAAGCTGAAATCATAAGAAAACGATCTTTAAAGTGGAGTCTTTCTGAAATGGAGTCATTTTAAAAGCGAATCGTTTTAATTGGAACAGCGAAAATGGAGGCATCATAATAATAATACGAATTTTTATACAGGATTGATATGTCAACTTTTCTTCTGGTATCAATGTGTGTCCTGATTAGTCCTGAGTAAAACAAAACCCTTTAAAAGAAGGGACACATATATCTATAGATTATAAATAATTTACAGCAATTTTTATTACATCATACATTAAAAATTTTAAATAAGGATGATTAGGTAAAATGTTGCGAAAAAAACTTGAAAAGTGTTACAAATATCTTTGTTGATACATTTGCGTACAAGCTTACATGCACGGATTTTATTACCATTTGTAACTGACTGAAATTCTTCGCAAGTGCTCGAATTCCCTTGTGTTGTTCTTAATGAGAGATCATGGAATGATGCTAATCGTTTATATGGAGTATCAGTTATCAGTTGTAATATTCCAGAGAATGTGAAGGTAGGCAGAATTAGTGCGCTGTGAATCGCCTTCGCAGAAGTCAGATCAAGATCATCTCTGAGCTTTCCTAGCAGCCGCAGCCTGCTTGATGCGCGTTGAATACATTTTTCAAAATGAGAATTGAGGTTTAAAGAGCTGTCAATTTCAATGCCGAGATATTTGTAATGGCTTGTATTCAATACCTTATCACCACGATACATGTTGCTTGGTGATTCTCTGTGATGTTTCAAACAGGATCGACTCGGTTTTCCCTTTCTTCAGGTTAATTATCAGTGCATTTTGGTCTAGCCAGGGGCGGATCCAGACATTCGCAACATTCGCACTGGCGAATGTCAGATTTCCACATGTCTTTTTGTAATTGTCTGTTAATACATTTTAGCATTGTGAATTTTGTACTAGAAATGGCCAGATAATAAAAAAAAAGGTCCACAGAATACAAGAAATAAAAGTTTTGTTTCCTGCCCTAGTTGCTATGATGTCACCTTGTTGTTTACTTTTTAGGTTTTATTCCCTCGTTTTCGTGATTTAGAGATGATGTATTCGAAAGAGGGCTCCCCCTTTTACGCATAAATTCACAGAGCACCAATAAGGTTTGATGCGAATGTCGAATGGAATTATAATATATTAGGCATGCGTGCGCAAACGAAGTAGTACTGAAAAATGTATGCCAAAAATTTGTGCGAATGTCAGTCCAGCTATGTTATTTAGCCATCTGAAAACCAATAGGAAATGTATATGGGAAATTTTTTTGCGAATGTGGCGAAGGTAGATGCGAACTATGTTCGGTAGATGCGACCTATGATTGAGGGAGAGAACCTTGAAAAGTGAGCATATTGAAACCTCGCTTCCAGATCAACGGCCATGATTGTTGTTGGAAAGCTGTGGAGACATTTCCTTGCAGAAGAGCAGCAATTGTACTTCAGAGTGAGTGAAAGGAGTCAAATATAAGATGATTTTTAATTTGAATCAGCGTTCAAAGTTTGTCGAAGATTTTGTTGATGGATGGAATTTGATAGATTATTTGAGTCTGAATATGCGAGGACAGTTCAGTTGGACCTAAAATTGTTGAGCCAAAATTTTGCCTATGTTTTCATTTTCATGATGGAGGACGTTATTTGGACAGAGATTCAGACTCAAATAATATTTTGAAGAATACGTGATGCTTTTTAAAGTAAATAGCCATTTTTATGCAGGCTGTCAATCAGAACTTTTAGGGTTCAAGTCAGGTACATCTTGATAATGATGATGTAGCATTCTGACGATTGATGCTGTTCTATAAATAACTTGATGAATTTGAATATGCTTTTTTTACAGTTCTAGATATTTTTTATTGATAGATGTTGTTATTATCACAAACCTGTAAATAGTTTGACTGTGTTGGGGATTTGTTTTTGAATAAAATATTGCATTTTCTACGGCATATTCTTTTCTTGTTAATTTTATGCTGTCAGTTTTGGAAAAATCTAGACTGCCATATTTGTAAATGAGAAATTGTAATAGTATTTTGATTTTATTTGTCTGGTCATGCCATAAATATGGTAACCCTTTTCATGAGTTTAACCTCTAAAACTAGTAAAATTATTTGTGGTTTCCACACTAAGAGTATACCATTTGAAACTCTTGGTTCTGAAATACCCTTAAGATTCATTAATTTTTGTTTATGAATTTGCAAGTGACTGACAGTTTTTTTTTCAATGTTATTGTGTGTGTAAATAAATGTAAATATGGGCAGTAAATATGCAATCAATGGAATGATCCTAATGGGGGAATTACTACATTATTAATAAGAAATTCACAGCAAGTTGGTTCTGCCAAGTAAATATCTTATATAAATCCATATAGTAAAAGTTATCATGTTTGCCTTATTTCTTTGCCATTGCTGACTTTGTTTGATGTACATTTTAAATTTGTAATGTATTTATGATGTTCTTGTTATGGAAAGACAATGAATTGTTTGAAATTCTGTTACATTTGCTGTTTTACCAACACCTGAAAATACTAAAATTGTATGATGTGTATTGACCTAACTTGTATTTTTGGCCCTGTTTAAGGCACATCACACAGCAGTTTAGATAGAAAGGCAAATGCACAAAATAAATAGCAGAAAAGCTCTGAGTCCCTAAAGTATTTGGTGTTGAAGTCAAACATTTGGGTGGATATTGCATTGAAAATTTCTACACTAAACACAGTATTTGACTGTTAAATAATATCATTGTATAAATAGAACTAAGATTCCTTTCTTTAAATGGCTGTTTTTTAAGTGAGTGACATAAAATGTTTTTGATGAGTTTTTCTCCCTGAGAAGGGGTGATATACACACCTAATATACCCTTATTTCAGCTCATCCTCTTTGTTCTTGACAATTTGTGATTCTGTGCCTAGACTTGCCATTAAATCATCATAAAGAGGACATTTCAAATCTTTGCTGTTGTTTTTCCACCACAAAAGCCATGTAGGAAACAAAACATACCAACACAACAAAAGCTTGATGAGTGTTTCTCAAAATTTTTCCAGAGATCTCTTTTCTTGTTCAATCAATGAGTAAAATGCCAAATTGTCAATGAAATCCAGACCTGGTTGTTATTCTTAATATTTAGCGTGTTAGTTTCCTAATCCTAAAACTTAATATGAGGAAAAATACATCTTTAAGTGACTGATTTCTCAAATATATCAATTAAATCTCACTTGTAGAAGGATAACTTCGATTCTGAGACTATAGTAAAATTTGAGTGATTTTTATTGGGCGTGGTCATATAGGCGTGGTCGAAACTTTGCGAATGTCAGATTTTTTTCTGCATCCGCCCCTGGGTCTAGCCATTTGGCAATGGCATCCATTTCTTTGGTGAGCTTAGAATTTATAATCGCTACATCTTTATCAGCTGTATCGTCGGCATACATATCACTGTATCGTCCGCATGCTTCACAATTTTTGCTACTTCGAACACATCTGTTAGGTCATTGTAAAAAAATTACAAATAGTAGGGACCCAGAATTGATACTTGGTAGACAGATAACTGCCATAACTAACAACCAACGATCGATGAAAAAGATAATCTGTGAACCATTCAAGTTCTTCATCGCAGATTCCGTACTGTGGCAATTTCCATAGTAGGTTCGAGTGACTGATAGTATCAAATGCTTTGCTTAAGTCTATGAACGTTGCACCAACTAATTTCCTTCTATCTATGTACATGTTGCCGAATTGCTGTTTTTCACTAACTCAAAATTGTCAAAGAATTCGGGTGCTATTAAATAGTTTTACCCCCCAAAATTTGAGAGAATTATATTGTCAAGTCGCATGCTATGCTACAGTTTCTGGCTTTAGCTAATTTCACTGATCAGTGTCTAATTCTGATTTTGTTGCTATGGTTAAAGCCTTTTTACGAGAGCCTCGAGTTGAGTTTCAACCTTGGTTGCACTGATGAAATGTGAAGGATGGAAGTGATATAACATCTTCAACAGTCTCGCAACAAATCAGCTTGATGGGATCAGTTAGCAAGTTCATATCTCTTGCGGTAGTTTCTTATTTCCATTTTACCTATTTTAGTTTACGTGTTATTATTCGACGATAGATAGGATCGCAGAAAAAATTGCTAAAGCTAAGCAATATTATCAGCATGTTTTGCTAAATTTCCAAATCGTTTTCCAATTGTCTTTAATGAAATTTGAGTTACCCAATCCAAAAAACAAGGTGAGAGCAATTAAGCTACATTAGATGCCTAATTCCTTTGGTCAATATGCTGTTTTCCTACATTTGCTCAAGGTCGCCATTTTACCCTTTTCCGTAGAAGGGAAAATCTCAAGCTTGATTTCGCAATGTAGAGGAAATGATATGTCTTTCCAAGTCTGATGTTGGTGCCAGGGGCGTCGTGACCGGGGGTGGGGGTGTCACCCTCCCAATAGTATCTCAATAGGAAATTTCAGGCAAAGTTTGCTCAGTGGAAGAAACACATTAGGTACCTCAGCTCAGAGACCTTCATGTCATAAAATCAATAAAGGATCAAGCAAAGGTAGTTGCTTAGTTGCTTAAATATGGTATTTCTTGATTGAATGAAGGTAAACAAACTAATTATTTGGCCACTTGAATATTTTTCGTTAGCACTCAATCCAAAAATCCAGGCCGTCTGTAGGTAAAATTGTAACTTGTGTCCTTTTCCCCTAAAGTTTCTCGGTAGAAGCAACAACTGCAATTCACTATGAGCTCCAGATTTTTTTAACATTCAAAAGGCAAGCTAAAATGGAAAGATGGATCTAAATTGACAACCAATGCTGCTTGTTACCTAGCTTTAGAAATAACTGAAAACATGGTATTTTTCAAGACCATCGTGAAATTGTACCATTTGTTGTTATCTGCTGCTCAATTTTTTTGCAAAAATAAAATAATTTTCAATAGGATCAGGAGGATTGCTTTAATAAAATTTGCTTTAAAGAGTGCATTTCCCAGGGAACCAGAAGCATCAAAATTAGAAAATTCGCTCCTCCTTCAGTGGCAACCATGATGCCGCCTCAGGTAGTAACTGTGTCTTTTGCCCATCTTGATATACAGATTTGACAAAACTATTAGGAAAGTCTGTTATTATCATATAAAAATGAAAGTTGTTAATTATATACAGAGTTAGATTGACAAAATATATTGCAGAGGTTTGTGGCCGCAACTAAAGAATTTCAGGCAATAATTTTTTAAACAGGTAAATTTGTATTTCACACCCCCCTCCCCCCTAAGGCTTGCCACACCACGGTCCTGTGATGCACACTGTGTGAATTCTCTGTGATATGTTCAGTGTGAGTTCAGCCTCACTGGGAGCAAGGATGGCTTTTAATTCAATAGAGCCTGAATGGAGGCTCGATTTGTAACTAGAATGGTATTATCTATGGACTAAAGGAAACATAGCCTTTCCAAACATAAATAGACGGATACACCCATCACAATGACAAAATAGAAACATAAATATTTTTCTCATATTATTCCAATTAACAGGTTGGAATTGCTGGAGGGTCAGTGTTTGGTATATATTTATCTCAAACCTACCAGGTTAGCACATTTAATTATTACATTTGTGCTGTTTTGGTATTATGCAGTAAGGTGTTTGCCATACCACATGGTTAACTTAATTACAAATGGACAATGCTCAGTAAAGTTATTTCTCCTGTGTGTGTGAATGGAATTAAGAAGGCTTTGCAATCCTGCTTTTTTGTCTGTCATCCCAAATACATAACCCAACTTGAAATCTCTATATACAAAACATTTTGCTATCAAAATGTAATAATAAACTGGCCTTTATTTGGATTATTATTGTAGATAATATTTGCGTATGTGATTGTTGAAAACAGTTCTGATGAGGTAAATATTTTCAGCTTCCTGATGTGAGGAAATTTGGAAGTGTTGTTATGGAAAAGGCTGATGAGTATGTGAAAGCTGATGAATCAAATGCTGCAGAAAAAGATAAGAAATGATGATCATAACACTTGATGTTTCGGAAGTAAATGTGGCATCATACTTTACAATGCATTTGATTAGAGAGTGTGAAAGGTTATCTACTCAAAACTGGGTGGATAGCAGTACATTGTGAGTTTTGAACTTTGAACTGTGCTTTAATACAATGAGGTGATTTCAATGAAAATCAAGCCCAACAAAGTTGATACTAAGTTAATAAACTCTTGTTTATTCTGTGCATGTTAATGTTAGTTGACAAGAACGAATAATTTATGCAAAGCATCCCAGGAGTGTAAAACAGCTTGATTTTGCAAGTATTGTATGGTTTTGAAACTAAATGAAAATAAGAGAAAATCTGACAAATAAAGTTTGTTTCCTATAATTAACTTCTTTTTATATTATAACAATATTCGATTACCTCTGGCCTGATGTGAAAATTTATGTTCCAATATCAGATACCTTCATTAAATTTGTTCAATTAGCACCTAGGAAATTTTTCGTTTACTTGTATATTTCCATTTGCTCTTTCTGAGTACATAACAGTACTGGATGGTTTGATCCAAAACAGTCAAAATATATCAAGTTCAGGGGTGGAATTCATGTGTAACTGTTGTGAAATTAGGAAATAAATATTTTGATTTTAATGAGCATCCTTGTTTGTTTTTCTCATGACCATAAGATTCCTATTAATAATTTAATATACTACTTGGTGTAAAGAACAAGACAGTTCTATACACTGAATAGTGTGTACAGCTCTGCCTATATGGCATTGAGCATTTTACGACAAACCGGTAACCAGTAATTTTCATGAAACATAGTTGCCAAGTTTTGGAGAATAAAGTGCTGGAGATTTGAGTGCTGCGCAGCAGCACTGTGTAGCTATGGAGGAGCTTAAAATATTTCCATTGCAACAGGATACAGAAAAGCAGCAGGGGACAAAAGGAGATTAGAACTGCAGGTGGCAAGCCTGTGAGACATCTAAACATAGGAAAGACAACTCTATTGGTTGCATGAAAAAAACCACTTACAATAATCAAAATGTAAAAGTAAATTTTGAATGTTTTCAAATCATAGAATGCTTTAGAGATTTTTCTAGGTTTTGCTGTTGCTGAGCTCGGCTGGAGACAAGCTTGAAATGCTGGAGTCTCCAGCAGGATGCGGGAGCGTTGGCAGCTATGTGAAATAATTTAATATATATCTAGTGCTTACTAGAACTCTACAGTCCATGTGGTTCTTTTTTCCATGCATATTAACAAAATCAAAATAAGTAGAAATTTTTAAAGGCTTTCTTAATTGTCTGTCAGCCATATAGCTCATAGGATTCTTCACCCTCTGCCACATATTCTTCTAATGATTTTAACCGCTTAGCACCAAGTAGCCTCCATGAAGTCTCATTACCATCCCAGTCAGTGTCAGCCTTGCCAAAAGCCATTGTTCCATTTGTAAACACATAACCATCTTCAGTATGAATCTGATTGCAAATACAAAATGCTTTTGCTTCTTCCACTGTGTCAAACATAAGCCACTCATTGATAACACTTACTGGTATTTTTGAATTCTTTGCTTTATACCCTTTGTAGATAACTTCTAAGGCTTTCTTTCTCAGAAAATTTAAATTTGTTATCAGACAACAAGATGAAATGTATGGAAGTTTTTCAAAAACTTTAAAAAACCTATAATAGTTAAAAAGAAACCTATTTTCTGTAATGAATTTTATGATATCTGCTCTACCACGTGGTATGCTGCTGTGTGACTCTAGCAACTGTATCAACATGTCCTCTATAAGAAGCTTTTTGTGGAAATTTAATAGCATATAGTAAACTCTAATTTCAAAACAGTTCATGCTCTCTTTTTTAACGTGTTCTAGCAAAGTGAATATAGATGAGTGTAACTGCTGGATGCTATCATCTCTTTTAAATGTTCCTTCGTTTTTAAGCTCCTCCATGATGACAATATGAAATCTTACGGCCTTTTTTAAGATGTCAACGGCAACTTTTTCATCTGCTCTTTGAATGACTAGCTCTTGCCTTATCGCTCTTATTCTATCTGAAACGAAACTGTAAACGTCAGTCCAGCTTCTGTTGTGTTTGTCTTTCGCAATGACATTTGATATCAAGTAGTTAACACAACGTTGTAAAACGTAAGGGGGCCTCAGTTTCATGATATCGATTTGGCATCCAGCAGCTGGGCGAACAAACTCCTTTAAGCAAGCCTCGTGATTTGCTTTTGGTACTTTATCATACTCCGTCCCACGAGCTATTTCAAAAATTGATAGTCGTTTATGCCTTTCCCTCTCAAGTATTTCAGATTTCGGGCACATTTCCAGACATTTTCCCTCTATTTTGTCCGCCATTTTTTTCACTGTGTTGTTGTCGCTTAAGTGGTTGTTGTTGTAGGAGCCCTCAAATGTCAACATCGGCTCCAAGCTGTTCCAGTTCACCTGTAAAATGGCGACTGCTGTAACAAATCAGTTTGCCATTACATTTTTCAGCACTTTAGTTGCACCAAATCAGAATGAGAATGTCATATTTTCACCCATCAGTATATCATCGGCAGTAGCCTTGGTAGCTGCTGGCGCAGAAGGAAAATCTTTGGACGAAATCGAGAAAGTATTCGGCTGGAACGGAGAAAGAAAGCAGCTTGCAAGAACCGTATTGACGGAAACGAAGGAGACTGTGGATGAATGCAACAGCTCTTGCCCACTTAAATCCGTGAATGGGATATGGTTAGCAAAGGAGTTCGCTATTTCCAAATCCTATGAAAGTTTTCTTAAAGAATACGATATTAACGTCGCTGAAACTGATTTCAAAAATAACCACGTGAAGGCTACGTCACTCTTAAACGAATGGGTGTCAGAAAGAACGAACAAGCGTATCAATGAGCTCTTCGCAAGTGGACAATTAGATGAAGCAACAAAAGCAGTCATAGTTAATGCCCTTTATTTTAAAGGTAGCTGGCTGCACCCATTTGATAAGACGATGACACAAGATGCTGAATTCCATGTTTCAAACACAAAGACAGTCAGTGTGAAAATGATGTATCACTCTGGCGAATTTAGATACATCTATGACTCACAAAACAAGTGTGATGTCATCCAGCTTGATTATACATCATCAGCCTACAATATGGTGGTAATTGTGCCTCATGAAATTGATGGGCTATTGGGTGTGACTTCGTCAATCTCCTTAGCCCAAATCTCCAAGTGGAAAGATAGTCTTGCATCATCATATCCTGAAAAAGTTGATGTTTTTCTTCCCAAATTCAAAGTGTCCCAAAAGATTGATCTTAAAAAGCACCTCATTAAGCTTGGTATTAGCCAAGTTTTTACTGACAAAGCAAATTTATCCGGCATTACTGCAGCTGAAGATCTGTATGTCTCCAGTGCAGTCCACAAAGCATTTTTAGAGGTAAACGAGGAGGGAACTGAGGCAGCTGCTGCAACTGGAATTGGCATCTCTTTTATGTCTCTTCCCCCACAAGTTAGGGCTGATCGGCCTTTCATGTTCATGATAACATCAAGAAAAACTGGCAGCATTATCTTTCTCGGCAGCATCTTTGACCCTTCAGCAGAGTGAAATGAAGGCAGTTGGCATAGCTTTGACAAACACAAGATAAAATCGCAGTGATAATTCAAATTTTTTTGGTTAAAAATGATTGTCATATTCAAAGAATATTTTTGATTTATAGAAGAAGATGAATATTTTTTTGAAAGCACAGACAGTAAAATAAAATTTATAGTGATTGTAATATTTTTTTATTTGTAAATGAAAGATCCAGATATATTATAGATTTGACTATCTCATTGTAATGTATCCTTTTCTTTATCCTGTAGTCCTACAGAAGAGGGGCTAAAGCCTGATTTACGCAAGGCAAATTTTTTTGTGGGAAGCAAACTTTTTGCTCCAAATGCTTGAAAAGTGTGCGCAGATTAAGAGATTAGAAAATTCCTTGTGAATTCACAGTGAATAATTTGCTTGGGAAAAAGAAAAATCAATTCTTCTTTTTTGCTGCAAAATTTTCAAGTTGTAATATAAACCAATCAGAACAGTGTTCGAAGACAGCTGACTTCTTTGTTTTTGTTTCCTGATGGCCTATGTCTTTCTGCATTCTTTTTCTCAAACACTCTCATTATCAATAAAATAGGTTAGTTATTATTCATTTCTTGTTTCTCGTACACAAACCATGTGAGTGGATTCACATATCGGATTATTATTCAAATATTTGAATTTAAATTTGATGAAAACTGGCTTAAAGCTACATCATTCAACCCGGTTTAGGCCATATGTCTGTAATAGACGGTCGGCTAAAATGACATTGGAAAGTTTTGAAGTATTCCTGGTCATAAAAACGTAAATGAAATTCCTCCCTCTGAAGACGTTCTGAATAAATTTTTTTAACACAGTATCACTTTTTTGCTGTTTTGCTCGCTTTTTAAAAATTATTAACTTTCAAATTTTAAGCTTTCAGATAACAGCAATCTTTGAACGGTTGCCATAGTATTTCCAGTATTTGCAGCGAATCCGCATAAAAATTTCTGTCAGTGTCAATTGAACTTCGAATTCGCGAGAAAAAATCGCAGCTAAAAAAATTGTGGCGAAAAGTTTGCTTAGCGCCAAAACTTCGTCTCGTGTAAATCAGACTTAACAAATACCTTTTTGGCTCGGTCTTTTCCACATACTTATAGATTGATTGGCTGATGGCATTTCACTCCATTCCACTTTCAGAGATACATGCATTCTTCTTCCTTTATAATTTTCCCCAGTTTTGGCCATTCATCTATTGCTCGGATTTTGATAAAGTAGTTTTTTTGCCGTAGACTGGCCTTATTTGAAAGGTTTCCATAGCAAAATGAATAGAAGTCACCTTTGAATTTTTTTTCTCCAAAAAATTACAGAACGTGTCTTGTAAAAGCTGTGATCGTTTTATAATGATCCAATCAATCAAAATGAATATATTCAGAAACCTATAAGTCACATTTCATACAGAAAAATGAAATGAGTAATAACATATCTCCAATAAAATGTGATATCAAACAATCTTATATCTCTTGCAGACCCTCAATAAAAATATCTTTCTCATAGCGCTCATTTGATTCTGGAAGTTTTTTCTTGCCTGAGCCTGCAACCATAATTTTCATCAATGGTCTTAGGTTTTCTAGTAATTCTCAACAAATCTTCCAGGTTTTGTTTGCAATAATGCTTTACGATCCATCCGTAAAATTCTTCAAAGAATTAAGGTGGCTAGGCAATCCGAACCTTAATGACTGACTAGAACAGCTGCTATTTGTAAGCATAGTTCATGAAATTCAAGTTAGTCCATCAGGTTTCATTTTGTTGAAAGGCTATATTCTCTAGCTTCAAGAGAAAATATCATTGTTTAACTATTTATCATAGACGCTTCCAGTTCAACGACAAAAGGAGTATAGTTGCAGCCATACAGTTTTTCACAAATTTTGCCAAAAATTTGTGGAACATTGAAAAATTTGTTTAGCTTTCTGTCTTCTTGCTCTTTGTACAATTTTGCTATTGATTTTTTATGCAATAATATTGCTTTATTTACTTTGGAAGACAAGTAATTATAACACATCTACCATCGTTAACCATAGGCGTAGGAGACTTTGGGCTTGAAATGAATTGATATTTTAAAACGCTGTCCTAGTTAAGAACGCCTCAAGAGAATGCTGTACAAATTTACATCGGTAGCTCTTCGTCGTTGCCCTGGATTTTTCTTTCTTAGCCATTAAGAATTCTATGCATCCACTGGATGTGTTTCCAGCATCTATCATCAAGTGCTAATGAAACCTGCTAGCTTTTATGCACGTAAACATGGTGACAAAAGGACTATATTATCGTTGACTTTGGTAGTATACCCTGGATGATAGATTTGCATGTACCTGTCTTTGAAACAATATTAACTGTTCGCAAAGCTGTTTCTTCGCATAAACGAAAGGTTCGATATACGAGTTTGTTGTAAGGCTGCCTGCTTGTTGCAAAGGGTCGCTTTCAATACCTAAATAATTGATAGTGACATTGAACAAAGCATGCAACGCAACCAGCCGAGTGTTGTGTTTCCAGCGAAAAAGAATCAAGGTCGATATGTTTAAACAGGTGAGCAACCCGTCGTGAATTAACCCAAACTAGCCTCGCTTAATCCAGTGTATCCCCCGGAACAGGTGGCTGATTATCATTGCCTTTCTAAGCCATAAAAGAAGGTTAACGAAAAATTCACCTTTATGCTTACAACGCACAGACAAGCCGCGATCAAGAAGGCGGCCTTGTCCAGGACTTGGAACTGATCTTCCAGTTCTGCGTGTTCTTGCTGCTTGACAGCAGAGCACGGGTGCATAATTTTTTAGTGCTTCGGGGAGGACCTGCGTTTTCGCTGTGACCTTCCCATCAAATTAACAAAAAAATGACATTATCTCTTCATTGCTCTATTATTTCAATAAATTTAACATAATGAAGTGACAGATCAGAATAGCTTTACTGCGTTTAGCTGAAGAAGAATAGTGTTATCTAGTGGTTTACCCTAGCTGCTGTGCTTTATCATAAGCAATACTGTGCACAGACGAGAACCTCTAGGTTTTACTTTGCTAAGAAGACTCGTCGTATGGCTATAATTAAGGCCAAATGTTTCACTCTTGGATTTTAGAATTAAATTTACATTGACTACTAAGTTGTCTTTATTATGCGCCTATGGCTTGAGAGAGAAAAAAGTTCGCTGTTGAAAAATGATATTATGAAATCCTCGTGATATTATGCACATTTGAAGAGAAAAGTGCGGCTCATGCAAAAAAAGTGACAGGAACTTTTGCAAACAGAATAGAGACATGGGTTGGGTCCAATGTTAATTTTTTGGATGACAAAAAGTCCAAAAGTTGATGGCATTTGTATACTATGCAAGTATTAAGGTTTCTTACTAAGTCAAAGATTTTCATGATCTTCAAAGTCACTTGAAGCTGACAAGAAACTGTTAAAATCAACCATGGAGAAGATTTTTAACGAGATCTAAGATATTATTTATTTAACCCCGATGTACAGCTCTGAAAAATTCAGTTTTTCGCAAGCTTAAATTAAAACAATTTCGAATCAGTCAACATACATATTCTTGTCTTAGTTTCTAGTTTATGGAAAAGCAGATGTCCAACTTTCAAATTGAACAGCAGGCGTAAAAAGCGATTTAATGGAAGTCAAATTTACAAGCTTTAAAGAATGGCAGGATTTTGTACGATGCAAATAGATTTCACATGAATTTGAGAACTGTTTTTCAGATACTGTTTTTCAGATGATGACAATTTTGATGCATTCGTTGATAAAACTATTGCTCAACCTTATTATAATATCCTTGCTCTTATCAATTATGAATTAGAGCTAAGACAATAATATTTTCTTTCACTTTATATGCAATTCAGAAGATGTCTTTTGTTCGGGTGGCGATATTCAATTTTTGCCGAATCTTGATGAGCGTGACTTTTTATGCTCCCCCGGCAAACGTAGTAAGATCATAGTTTTTATAAAAAAATCAACTTTATAGTGATGTTTGCTGCACACCCCAAGAAGCATATTTCAGCTGTCCTTGTTGTAATATGTGTTGAAATTATAGAAACAGGATGCAGCTTGTCGGGACATATTATTTCCTTATTGAAAGGAAGCTCCGTAGTCGAGAGATAAACCAGTCTAGAAAGAATGAATGACTGCTGTCGTGCTTATGAATGAAATGTTCACATGAAAGCGTATGCATATTATTAAGAGTCAAGACTTGATTTTACGTTTAAAGTGAGGGCCAATCTTTAATATACGGCCGTTCCAATGTTCTTAGCAAATAATTGTTGAAAGGTAAGGTAAAATAAGAAATACTAGGTTACACTTAAGATTTTGTTGTTTGCTTCATTGAGATCAGCTAAATTGTGTTTGATCAGTTGCAGGAGTCAAGCTGTGTTTTGTTCTAGATCAGAAAGTTATTAATAATAGGAATATTCATTTAAGAGCGTCATAAGTATTGAAAAATAATGGTTTGTAAAGGCAAGGAAAGCTGTTGTGTACATCAGAAGAATAGATGACAATTACAGTTTCTCCTTTTCACTTACTTAGGCTACGAAGAACCTATTTTTCAAGAGTCAGATTGTTGTTTGCTCTTATTCTAATGGTGCTTATGGCCAGAGGCTATTTTTCCAAAAAGGTATATTCCTCGTCTTTTGGGGAAAAGAGAGTCAAAATACCTTGAATATAATACCTTTTTCCTTGAGACACAGAATTATATAAAGATAAAGAATACAGAGTTTTGGAACGTTTAAGCTCGAAACTGCCAACAGACAGACTACAAATTCAGATGACTCTTAGTTAACATGGAACATTTCATGAATCAACCAGCAACCTTATATGTTTCTCAGCCAGAAAAAGGTTTTAGAATACTATGTGAATAATAAAGAAAGATTATAGATTCTTAGGTTTGTCGATGCAGGGATATACCGTAATTGATAGAAAGTATAAATGCTGAGTCCATTGGCATGTTAAATCCCTCAGCTTCGAAGAAGAAAGTTTTTTATTGCCTATTTTTAATGGTAGCCAGAAATTCACAGAAAAACTTACCCCACAATTATTATAAGAATGATAATTTACAAATAATCGTTCTAGTCTCTTCAAATATCCACCTGAAGCCCCATGTTTCAAATTTTGTTGGTAGTGGGTGAAATATTGCTGCTGGAAGCTTTCTCATTTATTGGAAAAAACTAGTTTAGCAATTTGCTTTATGTTCCTCGTTCCGATTGATTGTTTATTTCCTCTGGTGTGCCTTAGTTGGAATGCAACGCTTTTGGTTATGGTCTAACGGTTTAAATTTTGTATGTTGCATAATGTGGCAAA